AACTTACAAATTTAAAAAAATTGGGTTCATAAACATGTTAGAGAACTAAGTAATTTCAAAAACTGTCATTGTCACAGATGCTGACAATTTTGTATTGTCAATACTTGCACTTTAATGAAACAATAGATGAACATTACAAAATAGAAAGGTCAAAGAAAAACATACTGAACTTTAAACATGTAAAAACTCTTAAAGAGTTATTAACATTTAAGAGTTACTAAAAGTAGGATTGATTGTTTGGTTTGTTTTTTTATGATTTATCGATCCTTTTTTGGCTATTTAAAGACGAAATATATCTTAAATTATAGTTCTCTTTTGCCAGGGAATATTACATTAACAGTTTTTTAAGACTAACAATGATCTTCCAAATAAAATTTCTACTATTTAACCCAAAGCTGGGGGGAAGGAGATGATTCATACCTTTTCCCAAGAGTATTACTATTTGTGCGTAAGTGAATGTAACAAAAACCCAACTGTAATTTGAACTCTGAACCGCTATCCATGGCATCACCTGCACATTAACTACAAAAATCTTAAACCTACCATATTTTTCAATGCAAAACATTAATACACTGATGTATAATAATAATAATAATAATACGTACCTATAATTTAGTAAGGAATATTTCGGAAAAAAAGAAAATATATCTAATTTGATTTATCCACACTATTGATACCTTGTCATACATTTTCATTATTTTGGTTTGTAATGCATGTGTACTTTACTCGGGGTGGGGAGTAATCAGGGTGTGTCAAACAGGTGTTTTTGTTTCTTTTAATTAATAATACCAGTTACAAACTCCAACTTAACTACTAAGGTTAATGTAATTATTAAAGAAGTCTTTTTTTTTTGCGAAAAAAATAAAATAAAATAAAATAAAAAAATAAAAATATTATTCATTTTTTATTATTAGTGTCAAGTCAATTAATACGATATTTAAAATGTTGCAACATCTCGTAATTTAACGAGTTTTTTTTCACATCAAAATTCTTGCATCCTTGAAGGAAAAAATAAATAAATAAATAAAATTAGTGGAGCAAAAAGAACTGCGACGTATTTTGAATCCTATAGTCAAAGAATCAGAACTGAGAAATGTGTTAAAGAAAATGAATGCATGATAACTGTCATTTGTTCAATTCAAATCATTATTTACGTTTAAGAAAAAAGAAGAGACAATGATTTTCTCAAAAGTCAATAAAAACTATTATCATTTAAATTTTTTCTCTTTAAACAATTATCTGTAAATTACCAGTGAAATTAGACATTTTATCCATTAATGACGATTATTATTACGTTTTTATTTCATTTTGAATAGGAATTCTGACCGTGTCTCTAAACAACGATTTCATTAGCAACAAGTAAAAAACAGTAAAATAAAAAGAACATCGGGGGGGGGGGGGAATGTTCATATTTCTATTCATAGATTATTTTTTTTAGTAATTTCCATTGTTAGGGGGTGGGGGGCAAGCCATCAAAGTGACATTTGATAAGTGAAGAAGAGATCTTTTGAATAACATGCCTGAATGTGTAAGAAAGCGATAACGGAAAGCTGATAGGAATTAATCAGATTGTGGTACATATAATTATAGCAAAGAAAGGTTACAACTTCTTACACGGTCAGTGCAACCGACTGGTTGAGAGGAGAAATTGATTCTTTTCTTTTCTTTTTTGGCTTTTTTTTTTTTTGTTTTAAAAATCATAATTTTTTTTTAAACGTACACTCACGACTGTAATTACAGTACACACAAAGTCAAAATAACCTCTAGTAGTCACGGAGTAACAAAAATAATAAAATCGAAAATACTAACCAAGAATCAAGGATATGGATGGAGGGTTGAGAAATAAAATAAATTAGCCATTTTTTTTCTTTAACTTAATGCTTGTCTTTAAGGGGAAATAAGGAATTTATTGCCGCTTAAAATTTTCGAAGAACAAGCAATTGTCGAGGAGGGGGTTTAATTAAAAAATTTTAATTAATCGGACATTCAATGAATGACAGCTGAGAAAAGCATTGTGCAAATTAGCAAATTGTGTGTGCGCGCTAATAGGACGTAAATACTAAAATAATACTAAGTTACTATTATTACTACCATTCTACGTCCTATTAACACACTCACTCATTATTACTATCATATCCTTTTTTGTCCTGCCATTCATTGAATATCCGATTATTTATTTTATTTTTATAATTAATACAATAGTAACTACTAATTTAATAAGGCGCCATCCTAACACACCAAGGCAAAACGTGTTACTGTTAGTGTTGTCATTAAAAAAAAAGGCTTTTCCACACACAGATGTATTTTTATGACAGCGGGTGTGTATGGTCAAATGACCAACAGGCCATAAAAAAAAAGCTCATTCTTAACTTTCTTATGGAAATAGTTGTTTTTTTTTATTATTTTCAATTTTTTATTCAATGAAACACTAACAGTTTCTCTATCAAAATCATTGAATTGTTTCAACAATGTTCTTTTTTATATAAGGTGATTTGAAGTAGAGACGAATCGTAAAAAAAGTAACCTTTTTTTCTTCTTTAATTCGCACCATTGGAGATAGAAAGAAAATGAATATTTTTTTTAAAATGTACAATGACAAGTGAGAAATTTCTGCAGAACTGTATTTTTGTCTGATGATGAAGATTGAAGAATATTGGAATGCTACCCTAAAGATTTAAGAAGGGAACATGTTGAATCAAGGCATCGAATTCTGTTTATTTCGGCAAAAGTAAAATATCCACATTTTACGGTTAGTAATAAATAATAATAATAGTGGTCATCAATGAAGAAAACTTTGCTTTTTTTATAACTCCACCAACCCCAACGGTTTATGTTTTTTTTTTTAAGGAAGGGGTACACGTCAAAAGCGGCAGACGAATGAGAAAAAAGTGAGGAAGGTAGATTTAATGAATTTCCTTATTTAAAAAAATAGCTGCTTTAATAAAAAAAAAAAAAAAAAAAAACATAAAAAATTAAACTAAGAAATTAATTAATGAAACATTATTTTGTTCTTTACAAACACTGAAAAAGGATTCACAACTCGAATATAAAATGACATGTAATTTTAGGAGAATATTTAATTTTTAATTTAAGTAAAAAAAAAAATCATTTAAATTTAAAAAAAAGCAAGTAGAATTTTCGAACCTAAAGACAGATTTTGATTTTAAGTTTATGAACCAAACCAAAAGGTAAAAAAAAGGTATTCTTACTTCCTGATCATTTGTTTTTTAAGCCAAAATATCCAATAATTTCCTAAAAGTCCTTCATAACTTTATGAAAAGACAAATTACTAAGAAATGCTTAGAAGAGGCGGGAATTTTAACATTCAAACAAAAAGTGAACTGGGTTTTAAAAAGACAAATCTTAACTAACAGATTATGAGTCTTTGAGCGCATGGTCTCATCAGTCATCATCTCATAATTCTTAGAAATCGATGTGGAATGGTCAAACCTCTGAGTCAAGAAGTGATAATGAATGACATCGTAAACAAAAAAAATAAATAAATAACAAGGATTGTTTTTTTTGTTTTTTTTTTACAAAATCCGTCACTGAATGTAAAGGGATTTCATTTCTTTTTCTCTGCCCTCAAGATAATTTAAAAAGAAAAAACTAAAAGGGATTGGATTTGCAAAATTAAACCTGTTGTCCTGCTTTTTAAATTTTTAGTTAGAGAGGTTAAATTTTTAGTAACTATAAAAAAATTCTTAAACAATGATATGTAGATTTTGCTGCTACTAAATTTGTATTTAATTTCACAGTACAAAAAATAATAAATTTATTTACTTAAAACAATGAAATAACCTTACCACCCAATAATGCAGTAGTCAGTCATCTTTGCAACATCATCATCTGGGCGTTAGTTTTTTTTTTTCCTTTCTTTTTTTTTCTTCCCTTGTAAAGGCATTTTTACTTACAGTTCCTAATCACACCATCACCATATGTTTAGTTTTACTCTCCTAAATTATTACATAGAATCAAGAATTAATTAATAAGCAACATCAAATGTAAAAAAAGTGAGCTGCAGGCTTAGAGACGAGCCTAAAAATTAAGAAGACCTGAACAGTAAATGCTTTCAAAAGTCAATAACAGTCTTAATAACTAACGCCCACATTAAAACATCTCTCTTCTTCACACATTCATAGAAATATTTTCAACAAGAAGAGACATTTATGACTGTAACTTCTTAATCAACAGCTTTTTTCAATCCAGTCTTTTAATACGAACAGATTTACAATTTCATATAATTAAAAAAAATTAGAAATTGTCTAGGAAAGGATTTATTAATAACTAAAGGGCTTGAAACCGAAATCGTTGCTAGCTTCTCCTCCATCAACAATAGCGGTCGGTGTTCGAATCAAAGTGAAAGCAAGGATTCGAATAATGCCGATTTGTCAAATTTGTAATTAAAAGATGCAACACAAAGTCTTCGTTATCAAATACGTCCCCTACTTGGACCCCTGTAGAGATTAAGAAATGTCGACAATTATGATAATCATATAAAAATAAATATACTTCTGGAACCGGTGAATATGTAAGAAAATATTAAAATATTTTCCTCTTGTTCATCATGAAAATGTACAAGTGAAAAAATAGACGAACGATGATACCAAATATTTTTACGGTGCACCTATTATTGGCCTGAAAGAATTTGCAAAAAACAATGCCATATATCTAACTTTAAGAAATAAATATATATAATTCTTATTGTTTTTTTTCTTAGAATTGTTGACAAGACGAGAAAAGCAACAAAAAAAAATAACTATTATTTTTATCATCCAGATGGAATTTCGAGCAAAGATTGCCGAGTGATAGAAATTTAAATTGAATAACTCTAACTAACAAAACAAAAATCTGCACATAATCACAGATCATTAGAAGAAAGGTTGAATAAAGGCAAAAATAAATGTCAATTTCTGCTGTTTAGAAAACATTAAAAAAAGGGGGAAAAGAAAAATGCGATTATCGTTAAAATGTCAAAGTTGTTAGAGATCGGAACTTACCTTGTTTTGTGCGATGAAGAGTGTCGCGTGCCTAAATGGACGTTGATGGTAGACCAGACGTTATTACTGTATTTTTATTATTATTATTGGTGGTGGTGGTGGTCGGTTGTTACCGTCCGAATGTTAAGGTTTGGAGAACGGGGGGAAAAAATGAGCGATACTATTATTTAACAACCTCGTACATAGAGAGTCATTGCAATAACGGCACTCATCATATCACATTATTATCTACGGTCCATTTGAAAGAAGCAATCTGATTGGCTGCTTTCATTGTACCTCGTGACATCTGGTGGACATCTTAACTAGCAACGTGGTCAATCCTCGATGGCAGTGCTGCATTTCGTTCCGATCAGTGTGTATCGAAATGCCGACTTGAAGAGTTTTAGACTTAAATTTCACACAGTTGTGATCAGGAATTTGATTTCGAGTTTTGTAAGAGTTCAATGTTAAAACGGCGTTAATAGTTAAATTTAATCTCTAAAAATTAAATGAATATATTACAACTTTTTTTTTTTTTAAAGTCATTGATTTTTTTTTCTCTTGTAAAGTCGCAGCCGCACCCATTTTAAGACAGAAATTACTGACTGAAATTTTATTTTAATTGAAAATTAACTTGCTTGTAAATTAAAAATAAACAATTAGCAATTGTACAACATCGGCATTTTTCTTTAAAAGAACAAAAAATGTGTTGTGTTGTTTCGGATTTGACTACTGCTCAACAAAATTTCGACTTTCGGGCATTAGGTTTTTTTAAAATTTACATTTTATATATATATATATATATATATATATAATGTGAAAAAATGAATTTTTTTAATTAATAATTACACTATTACCAGTGTTGTGACATTTTTTTTACTAATACATGACCTTTTTTTTGTAAACGTGAAATTGATACCTTGTTGCTTTTCAGTCGAAGTGGGTTTTTTTAATAAAAATATAATTTTTTTCTTTTTTATTCAATGCCGTTTTTTAAAGGATTATCAAGAGGTATTTTAGTTTTACTCATTTAAAAACAGTTACATATTTCAGTTAATAATAGTCAACTTATTCAATAAACTTCGTTGCTTTGCTTGTGAGCAAACATTTGAAGTTGATACGGTTGAATGAATGAATAAATTATAATTTGAAACTTGATTCTTGCGCAATAGCAGAAGTGTACAGTTTTTACTTTTTAATAAGTTATTTTCATTATTTAAAGTATGATGTGGGTTTATTTTTTAACTAGCAGCATTATTAAAGCCTTCATTGTTTACAATGTAAATAGCATTTTTTGAGAACATCACCCACGCTTCCACGTGTGCACATTAATAAAAAAAAAAAGTTTTTTATCAACAGAAAAAACAATAAAGCAGTTTTTAAGAAGAAAAACCTGACTCAATAAGAAGAATGAATTAGTTTGCATTGCCAAGATAAAGGGATTATTTACTAACTGTTCTTCTTCATAAAATTTTCTTGAAAATCCATTAATGCCCACAAAAAAGTATTCAAAAATATTTTCGTGATCTTTCATAAGCCGCCATTTTTTACGCATGACTGCGCATTGATTTTTTTAAATTATTTTTTTTTAGAAATGTATTTTCTTTTGTCACGTGTCAGTAAAGATTTAGTTTTATTGTTGTTATTGTCTTTTTATTGCTAAAAAACACTTACTTAAAATATCGAGTAGATGTGGAGTAGCGAATGGGTTACTTGCGGTGTAAATGAATTTTTAGCCCATAGTCGTCGTAAAAATCAATTGTTTTGATATGTAATTAATTGTTTTCTGCAGTGATTTCGTTATAAGCTACGGACACAAAAAAAAAGAATTCTAGTTCCATTCCTAGATAGCACTATTGTAACCTTGTATTAAAATAAGATGTTCGGATTCTGCGGCAAAAGCAGAGATACCCTTTGGGGGCAACTACTCACATGAAAAAAAAGGCTTTTTTGCAACACATATAGCTCACCTTGTTGTCAAGATTAAAATTATTTTTTCGTAAGAAGAATGTCAAAATATTATTACAAAAATAACATCAGTTTTTAAATTAAAATCTTTCTCTAATTTTTTTTGTGTATGTGCTCTTCTTTTTGCCTTCAATTTCATCATCAATGAAAATTCTACAGATGTGAACAACGAATTATAGAAACAAAGTTTGTTGTTTTTTTTTGGGGGGGGTTCTGTTGAATCAAACATGTACGTTTGGAGACAAGAATAAATTTGAAATATTTGAAGTTTAAATAAAAATAAAATGAAATCTAATTTTTATTTAAAGAATGTTTAGTTTACTTACTGTTACATACGAGACGGTTAAAGGGAGATAATATTAATAAAATTTATAAACTTTCATAACTGATATTTTAAAATTTTAATCACTAACAAAAAGAAAAAAAAAAGGAAATATAAATTTGTTTCCCATGTTACACAACACATGAAGCAGATTTTCTTTATTTCTCCATGGAGACCTAATATAATAATCATTGTTTATAGCAAATGCGAATTTTTATGAGACCGGTTTGTCTAGCTAGACCGACGCCCTCAGAAAGGACGGCATGACATGACTAAAAAAAAGGATCCAACTAGAGAGCCTAACCAATATAGTTGGAGTGAGACATAAAGTTATACGCCTTTCCTAAAATTACATTTAGTACGAAATGAATTCCAACTGGCCTAGAACTTGAGTTTGAACGTTTCATCGATTCCAATTCATTCTCTTCGCCATTAGTTACATTTTTTACAACCTACACATTACTTCACATCACATGTAAAAAAGGCGCCTATGACTTAAAAAAAAAAACGAATAAAAAATGTCTGGGAATGTATATTGCTATTCAAATTCCACAAAAAAAAGGCTCTTGAGTAGTAAGAATGCGATTGTGGGGATATGAAATAATATTCTGTGGGTGTGGCTTATAACACAGACATACATAGCAGTGTGCAGAGGAGGGGGAGCTGTCTTTTAAAAAGAGATCACTGTATAAGAAAAGAAAGATGAAAAAATCGCGGAGAGCCATGATCGCCCACATCCAGAAAGAATATGGCACATAAAATAAAATGCTATGCTCCTTTACTTAAAAATCGGATGTATATGAATTAAAGTTTTCAAACTTTTTTTTCCTATAAACGAATCTATATTGCCTACACAACTCTCCCTCCTTCCCCCCCTCTCTCTCTCTCTCTCTACATACATACATACATATGTATATATATATATATATATATATATATATATATATATATATATATGAATAAAAAAAACTAAGAGAAAAAACTATTCTTAGCCAATGCATTTTGTTCTCTGAGGGACTTTATCAAGGCAAATGTTTTTCCTCTTTTTATTCATTTTGTTTCTTTAGATACACTTTAGATACTTCATCTGAAAATAATTTCTGTCTGCAATTCCAGTAAAAACCTTTGTCTGTATCCTGATGATAACACACATGATGTGTATGAAACTGTAGTTACGGATGTCCATTGGCTTAACACCAGTAACAGTAATTGTTTGGTTAATATCCAAGCATTATTCTGTGTGTCATCATGTACTCCATTAGGAGTAATTCTTTTTGTAAAAATATTATATATATAATGGTCGGCTACTCATTTTTTGAGTGCATATATCTGCTAGGTTGGCGAGCCAATTCCTGTTTCAGAAGCCTGCTCAGGTACATTTGTGTTTGTTCAACACCCACAGAGCCTATTGGTGGGTTATACTACAACTATGTTGAGCAGACCTTAGTTACAGTTTCTGGGAGAGAGTGAATAATCTGCATTTTGAACAATGCCAGTATGCTAAACACCTCGGTCACAATGACTTGTGACTTTGTGTTAGCGCAACCATCAACAATTTCCAAATTGTTCCATCTACAAAATTTCACACACAAAGGTTTCAAGCACTTTCCAAAGGTGCCACTTGCTGGTACTGCGTCAACATCAACCATAGTGAGATTTGAACAAGGGTCTCATGAGCAGAAAGCAAAACTTTTAACAATTCAGCCATGTGGTATCAGAAATTTTGAAATCAGTTATATTGACTGGCTAAGAGACAACAGCAAAAAGCATCAACAAATATTCCTGTGGCTATGTCCTGAGATCCTTGTTATTACACAATATATGGACTTGTATGCAGGTCACTGGCAGGATTGAAATGTCACATATGACACAGACATAAAAACTGAATGAGGTTGTCGGATCCTCATATGTTGAAATCAATGGGAGAGTCTATCATTATTTTATATATATATATATATTTATATATATATGTGAAAATATATAGAAAATAGGAAGGAACTGGTTAGGTAAATAATCCAAAGTCCCTTAGTATTTTAGTTATTATTTTTAAAAAATAGTGCTCGATACAAAAGTAGAGCATAAATATAATTATTTATTTAAAAATATGATTCCAAATAAGCTACATAAGAGGTCTCATGTTTCAAAACAAGAGCCAAAAACTTCAATATAATCCTTTAAATTAAGATGGAACGTTTAAATTTTAAATTAAACTCAATTTAATTTAAAGGATTATATTGAAGTTTTTGGCTCTTGTTTTGAAACATGAGACCTCTTATGTAGCGATTTGGAATCATATTTTTAAATAAATAATTATATTTATATATATATATATATATATATATATACATTTTTTTTTATGTCTTTAAATAATTGTCAGACTTTGTCCATTTCATAATGTGTGATGTCATATATATATATATATATATATATATATATATATATATATATATATATAAAAAAAAGAGAGAAACCACAAATGTTTTTGGTTATAATGTGGATTTGTTTTAGTGTATATATTATATTTTATTCTTCATATTTTTGCTACACACGTTTCCAGTCTTGTGACCTTCTTCAGGCAAATTAAAGGAATCAATTTTTAAAGTAATAAATTTTCCTTATATATATGATTAATACAAATTTAAAATTTGTCACTCAGCTAATTGATGTTATATTCAGCACCTTAACTCCAGTCCAGAGTTCCGTAAACAAATCTATTCGTAATCATTCAGTTCACTCATCAGGAGGTTTCAACAATTTGGGTAAATCAAAAAGTAGAGGCAATTTTCATAAAATACCTTTATTTCTATGAATGAAGAACTAATCTATATGTTACTTTTTGACATATTCTCCCTGCATGGCAATACACTTCTGTTATTGTTCAACAAGCTTCTACATCCTTTCCAAACAGAAACTTTTCGGTTGTTCATGAAGCCATGTCTGTAACCGCTTGCTTGTTCCGCCACTTGTGATTTTCTGATCAATGCGTCCACATTCTGGATGTGTTCTACTATCAGTTT